TTCCAGAAGAGGCGTTATTCCTCGTGGAATGAGGTTTACAGACGTCGGAATAAGCCGCCCATTATTTTGGTGTCATTTCGAAATAACAGAATGGCTGTGTAGACGCTCGCATTGTTATCTCAGAATAACAGCGGGTATTCTGAAGTAACGGGGCCGTGTAGAGGCACCCTGAGGGCCTAGTCCCAAGTTTGCCTGGCAGCTGTGTGGGAGGAGTGACGGTCAGTTTGGCCTCATTCATTCAAAGAGTCAGAGTAGAGTCAGAAAAAGGAAAGAGCAGGAGAACACACCCAGAAAGGCAGCACTGATTGATACAAAGTGCAATCCGCCCATTTCCCAGCAGAAGGAAGTGAAACTAAACTCTCTGGACTTTGCACCAGAAGCCATGGCTGCTGTGAATCCAGCAAAGACGCTCCAGGATGAAGTGACCTGTCCCATTTGCCTGGATTATTTCAACGATCCGGTGTCTCTTGACTGTGATCACAGCTACTGCCGAGCCTGCATCACGCAGTCCTGGGGGGGACCCACTGCAGACGTCTCCTGCCCCCAGTGCAGACGGGCCTTTCCCCAGGGGAACCTCAGGCCGAACAGGCAGCTGAGGAGTATTGTGGAGGCAGCCAGAGAACTCCAGTTGCAGGCAGGGAGGGAACCAGCCCCAGAGAGACTGTGTGAGAAACACCAGGAGCCTCTCAAACTCTTCTGCAGGGAGGATGAAATCCCCATCTGCCTGGTGTGCGACAGATCCAAGGGGCACCGAGCTCACACTGTGATTCCTGCCGAGGAAGCTGCCGAAGAATTCCAGGTAGGGAAATGCCGACTGGGATCCCTGCCCTCGTGGGACGGAGGGGAGCACTGGGGAGCAGCTCCCGCCCTGGGAATCTAGCCGATAGGATCAGGGCTGGGACTGCAGGAAGCAGGGACGGCCTGGGGATAGGGCACCGCAGCAGGGTCACTGCCTTCTGAGTGCCCCTCGTGGCATGGGGTAGCCCTGCCTCAGTTTCCCAAAAAAGACCCACAGTGGCATTTTATGTGGCCAGTCACAGCCCTGCTCTCCCAGACGGGACTCTCAGGACTTTGAGTCTGGAGTTTGCTCTTATCATCCTCACAAGATCCCAGGTCTCCTCTGTATGCTCCAGGGGCCTCCTCCCTCTGGCTTTCCCTGGGCTTCTGTTTGACCTACCCCAGGCCGGGTTGGATCCCAGAACCCCTCACCCTGCCCTTCATTGTCCCTTCCTGGGGAGGAGAATTGATTATGTCTCAGGTGGGGCTGACAACCAATGTTCCTTCTAATATTTTCCATCTGTGTGTGGAATCATTTTTGTTCTGTGCGCCAAAGCATGTGTGGCTGTGCACCACTCGTAGAAACACCTATTGCCAGTTGTGGGGGACTGGGCGTGCTGCTAATCAGCTGGGCAGCACTGGAATCTCTCCTGGGTGCTGCACAAGAGCCCGGCTTACAGGGACCCTACTGAGATCTCCTCTTTGAAAGGGCCAGCCAGCCTGTGCCCCCACCTACCTCTCCTGAGCCACTGGGAGAGTCCCAGTCATGCAGGTTTCTCTTTGGGATTTATCTCTGTAGATTTAGTGGGCCCATCACGTGCCCATGCTGGTGTTAATGGCAATGGCAATAATTGGTACTTAGTAGAATGCACGTTTGTCTATAGCACTGGCCTCTCTGGGCCCCAGGGAGCAATTGGAGCCCCGTGGGGCCAGGCACCCTATGGACAAGCCAGCCAGAGAGAGCTCCTAGCCAGAGCCACAACATCATGAACATGAGCCGCAGCAGGCGGGTAAAGAAAGAACCGGGGGCATTGAGGATTGTTTGCAAACACCTGTAATTATTTCCACCCTGCACCTGCCTGGCTGGGTCCCTCCTCTACACCTCACTCCCCACCCCCATGCACCCTGGCTTCTCAGGACATCCCCGATGCTCTCAGTGTCCCTCCTCTCCTCCAGCCCCCTCCCCTGCAATCTCCCCCTGCCCCCGCGCATGCAGCCTCTGAGGATGTGACCCCAGCTCCCTACTGTAACAAGGTCCGACAATTTCAAACCCTCTGAAAACACTTCCAGGGTCTATTACTGTGACTCTGTGTCTCCGATCCCATAAACCTGCCGGACCCTGCAGTGGCGAGTACAGTGCGTGGTTGTGCTAGGCCAGCTCCCCTCCCTTTAGTCCTTAGACTAACAATAACAGAAATATAATTAAAATCTTCACTGGCAGGACATTAAGAAAAAGGGTTGAACCAAAAATGATCTAATATTAAATGATTAGCAAATCTCACATTTGATGTTTTGCTTAGTCACATGAAATGTTTCTGCGTCTCCAGGAAAGGCTCCAGGCCCAGCTGAAAACTCTGAGAGCCGAGAGAGAAAAGCTGCTGGGACTGAAAGGGAGCAAGGAGGAGACCAGCCAGGAGTATCTGGTAGGTGCCCGGCGTTATTACCCTGCTGTTGTATGAGAGGAGCAGCCCTAGACTGGATTACGGTTTCTCTTCATCAGGCAGGGAATGAGCACCCGGAAATCACAATTCATTGCTTTCTGACTCCCTCGTGGGGGGGGGCCCCAACCCCAGCCACTTCCACCCTCTGTGCATTTGTGGACCCCTTTAGAAATGTCAAAGGGAGGTTCTGCCTTCTGAGTGCTATTAGCCAGGGGATAAAATGGTGTCCGTGGCCTCTGGTTGTCAGAGGCTGGAGAGGGATGGCAGGAGACAAATTGCTTGATTATTGTCTTCAGTCCACCCCCTCTGGGGCACCTGGTGCTGGCCACTGTCGGCAGACAGGATACTGCGCTAAAGGACCCTTGGTCTGACCCAGTACGGCCGTTCTTATGTTCTTATGACCCTTTTGAAAATTGAGGGTATGTCTAGACTACATGCCTCTGGCGACAGAGGCATGTCAATTAGGCTACCCGGCATAGGCAAAGAAGCAGGGATTTAAATAATTCCCACTTTATTAAAATAAACATGGCCACTGTGCTGTGCCGACGATCAGCTGAGGCTTACAGAATCGGTCAGCAAAGGCTTCCCGCGTCTAGACTACCACGCTGTGCCGGATCAGCTGATTGTCGGCACAGCGTGGGGGCCATGTTTATTTTAATGAAGCGGGGATTATTTAAATCTCTGCTTCTTTGCCTATGCCGGGTAGCCTAATCTACATGCCTCTGGTGACAGAGGCATGTAGTCTAGACATACCCTGATTTGAACAGAAGCAAGCAAAGTATAAGGCTTTCACAGACAAATGGCAGGATGCTAAGGAACCTAAGTCTGAGTGTGGTTCCTTCGTTAGAACAAGAAAACCTGGAATTTTACGCAAAGGGGACCATACATTCACATCTCTTAAAATCATAGGGTATGTCTACACTACTCCGCTAGTTCGAACTAGGAGGGTAATGTATGCATACCGCACTTGCAAATGAAGCCCGGGATTTGAATTTCCCGGGCTTCATTTGCATAAGCGGGGCGCCGCCATTTTTAAAACCCCGCTCGTTCGAACCCCGTGCAGCGCGGCTACACAGGGCACGAACTAGGTAGTTCGAACTAGACTTCCTATTCCGAACTACCGTTACTCCTCGTGGAATGTAGTATTTACAGTGTTTTCAGGGTAATATTTCTGCCAACAGTATAGTGTCTTGTTCCATATTTGTTGTGTGGTTAGAAGAACAATGTTTATTTTATAATTGGGAGAGCTTCCTAAGAGAGGAGGGAATGTGGTGTTTTAGATGCTGCTTGTCATTATTAGAACTGGGAGCACTGGCTTTTGGGATTCTGGAAGCACAGGAAACAGGAAGGAGTGGGGAGGAGATGGTCCAGGGCTGAGAGAGCTACAGAGGGGAGCAGCAGCAGCTTTATAAAGAGGTTTCACCTTTGGGAAATAAAGGCCTGTTGAAGTTTGTTACTACCTTGCTTGCATGAGACAACAATAAGCAACAACTGATATTAACAAACTGACAGAATCACAAATTTGATTTTTTGCTCGGTCCAATTAACTATTTTTGGCAAAAATCAAAATGTTTTGTTTCAACTTGACCATTTCCTCAAAAATAATTTTAGAAAGCACAAGGACAGTTTCAAAAATAAGTTTGGATTTGCCGTGGATGTCTTTCTGCAGCATAACAACTGGTGACATCGCCAGTGATTCGTGAAATGTGTCTTTGGTGACAAATCTGCATTTTCCCAGGAAAAAAATGTAATGCAGAAAACATCACCAAGGGCTAGTGCCGAGTCCTGCTCCCTGCTCCCTGCTGCTTTGGATCAGCATCGCTGAGGCCATGAGCCACTCACGATCCAAAGCACGTCAGACATGGCCACGTCCTTTATGAGAGTCTGGGGCCAAACGGGAAGACGTGAGAAAATTCTCTCTAGTAACTGCAGGAGACTGTTCACTGTCGGGTCCAAAGCATGTCAGACACAGAAACGTGCTTCATGAGATTCTGGGGCCAAACAGGAAGACGTGAGAAAATTCTCTCTCTAGTAACCACAGGAGACTGTTCACTGTCCGGTGACTTAGAATTTGCAAAGAGATTCTCCCCCTGCACACGCCGTGCTCCTTGAAGCGCCCCAGGCTCTATCCATGTCCCCCTAGTGGTGGTGGTGATGTTCTTCCTTTGGTTCTTCTTCCAGAAACAGACACGAGCCGAGCGGCAGAAGATCGTGGCCGAGTTTCAGCAGCTGCGGCAGTTCCTGGAGGAACAAGAGCGACTCCTGCTGGCCCAGCTGCAGAAGCTGGACGAGGAGCTTGTGAGGCTCCGGACTGACACTGTCACCAAACTCTCGGAGCAGATTTGCCGTCTCAGCGAGCGGATCCGGGAGTTGGAGGAGAAGTGTCAGAAGCCAGCGAGTGAATTCCTGCAGGTGAGGCTGCGGGGGAAATCCCCCAGCTCCCACCACAGAGACAGGACAGCCCCTAGCAGGTGGGCACAGGAGTCAGAGGTCACAGGGCAGCTCTGTGTGCACCTTCCTGACATGGGAATTGTTGTTTTGTGCAGACCCGCAGGCACAGAGCTGTTAGAGAAGGGGAAGTCCCATTTGCTCAGGGGATCCAAAGCCTAGTTTCCCTTCACTCGAAAAATCCCTCCCTTGGAATTCACAGTGTGTGTCAGGACTGAAACTCTCTCTCTCTCTCTCTCTCTTTCTCGCAGGACATCAGAAGCACCTTGAGCAGGTCAGTGGCTCTCACACCTCACAGCACTGGGGAAACACTTGTCGCTGCCTCTCCCCAGGGCTCCACAGCAGAACGTGCGGGAAGGTCACATTTGGGATTCAGATCTCTGACCCATTTAACCCTGAGGTCCTCGGCTTTTTAGAGACGACTCTGCAACTCCCCAAGGGAAGGCGCAGACTGGCCTGTGGTATATTCTACCCATGTCACCGCCCTGGGGACTGGCTGCCCCAGGACTGAGGGGTGGGACATGGGCCTGTCCCTGCTGTCCAGGGCAGCAGGGATCCAGCGTCTTTCCTGCCCGAGGGCTGTTTGGAGACCTGTGTGGGATGAGCTGGGGTCTCAGTCTAGTCCCTAGTGGGCAGATTCTACAGCCCTTCCCCTGGGAACCTCCCGTCCCTCAGCGCCTGGAGGCCCAGAAGTGAGTTGGCCGCGGAGACTCAAATACTCACTAACCAGAAGTTAAGAATTGAGTCACTCAAGGCTGGATCACAGCAGCTCCCGACCTGTGGGCCACAGACCCCTATAGGGTTGCCAAGTGTCCGGTATTTGCGGCCTCAGTCCGGTAAAATGTCCAATATTTTCTGTTTCTCTTGGTCGGAAGGGCGCTTGGGCCATTTTCCTCCTGCCCCGTCTGGTGGGGGCGTGGAGAGCAGGGAGCCTGGGGACTTAAAGGCACAGTGACACTTTTTTGGGTTGTGGTTGTGGGGTTTTTTTGCACCCACCATGTGAGGGGTAGGTTTTTTGTGAAGACTCTCGACCCTTTGTGGCCCATGATGGTACTGCAGGGGATCTGGGGAAAGTCCAAAAGTAAGGATTGGGCTAGTGACAGTGAACCCAATGCTTCTTTTTCTTTTCCTTTTCTTTTTTTATACCCAGGGAGGGGGGGGGTCTGTGAAATTTTCATAGATTAAAAAGGGGCCCATATGGTCGAAAAGGCTGGGAACCACTGCAGGGTTACCATGGGACGTTGTGTCTCCCCAGGTGTGAGGAGAGGCAGGCCCAGCAGCCGGAGGAGATGGCTCCTGAATTGGAAGAACAAGTCCGTGGTTTCTCCCAGAAAGTGATTGTGCTGTCGGAGACGCTGAGGGAGTTCAAAGGTACCTGGGGGGGATGGAGGAGGGGAAAATGAGACCGTGGAAGGAGAATGGTGCTGGTCAATTGGTTCATAATTAGATGAGGCTTCCATATAATTGGGGGTGAATGGCCCAGACTTGGGTTCCAAGACACTCAGGTTGATTAATTCAAACCCTTGTTTGTTCAGAAGCAGCCTTTGCAATGACAGTGACAGTGAGAGTGAGAAATGACAGAGAGAAACACGCCCAGTTCCCTTCTCTTGGGGCACAGGCGGATCATGGTGCATTTCTCCTGAGATAGTAGGAGTACCACTGACCATATCTGATTGGTTATAATCATCCAGATTATACCCGGATGAGTTCTGTTCCAATCCCCTTTGTGTGACTTGTACACGGCACACTCAGGAACTTTCAATTGCTGGAGGGTTTTTGCTTCTCCAAGCAATTTTCAAGTTCCTCTCTTGTCTGATGTGCAGGGGTCACTTCTCCACAGGGGGGATCTGGACGTCTCTCCCTGGCCTGGGCAGGTCACTCTGGGTGTCTCTGCAAACACCTTGTGTGGGCAACACACCTGTGTCCTGCAGAGCAACTCAGGAACGTGGCACTTTAAGAGCAAGGTCCCTGTAGGAAACATTTCCCTTATGGCCAGCACACGGCTCTCCAGGCTCAATCCGAGCCAATCACCATCAATGGGGGCGAGGGGGACAATAATTATTGGTGGGGCCCGCTCCAAGATTTTGGAAAGTGGCCAAGGGCCACACTTTGCTGTGGTGGGGATGCAGGGTCTAGGTTGGAGGTTGGGTGCAGAAGGGCACACGGGGTAAGGGACTGGGGTGCAGGAGATGGGGTGGGGTCTGACAGGGAGTTTGGGGTGGTGACCTGGGTCTGGGAATTGGGGTGCAGGGTCTGGGAGGGAGCTGTGACCTGGGGCAGGGGGTACACAGGGCTTGGAGGGTGACCTAGGGAATTCAGCTGGGACGCAGGAGGGGCTGGGGTGCCAGAGGCA